GTCCGGTGTATGAAAGATAAATTGTGTGACCCTACTCAGAGCAACGCATGGCTACAAATTAAAAAAATACATTTGAAAGCTTATATCACATCTCTCCATATTATCATGTGATTATTCCATCATCATCACACAAACTTGAAAGATTTCCTATCATCACATCTGGCACCACATCCCAAGTGAGCGCAAATTTTCACCGTGCGTGTCCAATGTAGGACTTGATAAGGCTTGTTATTACGCTTTGCAAACGCCCATAGATTTCTTCCAGGCACATTTTGTGCATGATGAGTTTTGACGACGACAAGTTCATGCTGATATTTTGGTCAACAAGGTTATGCGACTTTCAGCCGTCAGAAAATAGCGTGTTGCCTTAATGTATCCGCCTGCAATGGTAAACCCACGCGAGTAGGCATCGTTCGACGTCAAAACGATCACAATGATGCTCCCACATGAGACAATAAAAAAAAAACAATGTGAGATTTTTCACGAGGAAATTTTTTTTTTCACTTGTGAGAAAAATTAGGTAAAATTTTCCGAATCAAAAAGGTACATGTTCGGGCATAATCAAACCTTAAAAAAATCATCATTAGAAAATAAAAGGGTGACTCCGCTTAAAATATATATTTGGATAATAAAACGGTGATGTGAATGAACTTCGTTAGTGCAATCATTTGCATGGATATATAGATCGGTCATATGGATTTGCGCATGTGGGTTAAACACAAATAAAACACATTGTTCTCTGAATTCGTTAACGTTCATATGCCAAATTCATTATCATGCCAATTTGGTTGGGTTACGGGTAAATAAATATTCAAGGATCTTCGTCGCTCAACTCATTCATTACCGTTTCGTCGAGTAACTTCCGGGATCGCTGCTATCTTATTATTTGTACTAGGTTTGTCGATTGAATAATAACATAACGTAAATATTATACATGAGTTCGATCAAACATATATCCTAAAGTTGTTCGGATTTTCCGTTCCTTATCTGTGATTGGTTTAAAGCATTAATTTATGCGCATTATTAATGCATAATATCCACTGCATGTTTTATTGTCACCGATAGTTTTTTTTATTATCAAGCAAAAAAAAACGTTTTAATACATCAAACAATGAAACTGTTAATTTATCCTTGACAATTTTGGTTCGTCGTACATTTTTCTTCATATGGCAAAATTTTATTTGTATTCCTTTGTGCTTCAAAACTATTGATGTCAATACTTTAATTACTGTTGATGAATTGTACAAATATAACAATCCATTTGCCTCAATAAGATTGAATGGTATTGTTATGTTTTGGTCACATTCTAATCTATTTTTTAAATTCATAAACAACCGGGAAATTTGACATTTATCATTACTATCTTTAGAAAGCGTATTAAAACCACGTGGCACAGGTGCGCATGGCCCGTGCGGTCGGCCACTGCGGGTGCTTTCCATATCAAAAGGGTCAACAATGAAAAAAAAAAACGTTTTTTTTCCCCGACGTGCTTGATGCAAACTGACCGTTCTATTTTTATTACACGCATATTTTGTTTGAATGTCTTGTCTTATATTATGCAGTGCTTGATATTTAATAAGTCATATGACATGTGTATTAAATGGTGATCGCAGATCGCGATTCTCACACGTGTCTCAAAGTGTACAGTTATTGCTGAATATGTCACGACAAAGCGCTGTACTTTTAATTCAACTACGTTCTCCTGAAAAATAATGTCATGAATTCGACGGACCATGATTTTGAGTTATATCACAATCATGTGCCTTTCATGCGCTTAGTCGGCTTCGAGGTGCATTCGGGATTCGCGAAATTTTTTTTTTTTTGGTTGGAAACATGATCCCGAAGGTATCGCATTCATGCAGTTGAAAGCCTTGTCCTGAGTCAACCCAGAGTTCAAGCCCTCAATGATTCCATTTCAAGGTATATTAAAATATTTATTATGTATCATGTCAAATTAAATTCAAAAAATCTCCTGATCTGTCACGAGTAACTGTTTCGCCATGCAAAACAAGCAATAAACCTTTGATTGTATGAATACCAAAAATATCCTTGAAATCCTTACTAATAATAAATAAACATAAACGCGCGTTCGAATACATGTAAAGGTCTTAGCCATCAAAAGAAAACAAGAGAATAAAAACTTTTTTTGTCTTTACATTCTCAAACATCATAATGTGCGTATACATATATTGTTCATCGATAAGGTTACGAATTTGGCATCATCGTAAACCTTTTGATGTCAATCCCACCTTTTTGAAATTCATTGAGAAAGGCCATATCAACGACGGGAACTCCAAAAAGAGAATTCTGAATAGGAATACGCGCCCATTATCATGAATACGCTAGCAAGTTTTCATGTAAAATCATGTAAAGCGACGATAAATGCGGTTACTGATTTAACTTTGATAACTAACCTATTGATTAGGTTAATCTCTCCGATTATCTTTTGTAAATATGCAGTTTTACAAGAAACGTGAAACGTTATAGCTTACGTGACCGCAGGAATAGAAACAGGGATAAAGATAAGGAAAACATTTTTTAAAAAAAAAAAAATAAACAAATCATCTTTATTTAAATTACAAATCTTCAAAATATTTCATGCGTAGATTCCGGTGATGTTGTATCACTTGAATATTCCTGGTATTTGCGAGTTGACAATAATTTTTTTCATTGCAATTAATTCCACCCGTTTCACTTTCGTGTAACCGTATCCGTATTTGTTGATATTAATTTCGTTTGAAGAATCAACCTTTTCATTATAAAGAATCATGGTCGCCCAATAATACAATTTATTATTTATTGATATTATATTTTCAAAACAGATCTTTCCATCTTGTTTTCCAATACGGAAAAACAAGTTTGAAATACTGTAAATCACAATTTCAATAAATAGCGGGAGCCTGCTTAGTAGCCGTAATATGACGTGTTTTCCATTATTATGTCAGTATATAAATAGCCATAATATATGTGAGACTGAAAGAGGCTGCATCTTGATGCATCCAATAGATTAAAGGTGTCATTAATAACCGAATATTTTTATATTTGCATAGGGGCAAATTTTTATCCTGTTCATTTATCGCACTTAATCCTGCAACTTGCAACTTGGTTCTCATTGTAGATGTTACAATAATTAAATTAAAAATTAGCGTCATGTCGTATACGATCCGCGATCTTTTCTTTTAAAAAAAAGCATTTGCTTTACTGTGCCTTGTGTTCCGAATTTAGGGTCGTTTAGCTTTAACGCGCATTTTATTGTTTGAATTTATTTTATTCGACATTTTTGGATGACGATCGTTAACGCATGGCAGAATTAGTCGGGGTGATGCATTTAATTCTGGTAAAAGTTAGGGACCTGTTACAGGTCTGGAACAATAAATTTTTTTTTTTTTTTGGTATTATTCGATTTATTCATATTTGAAAGGATGCATGCATTTTAAGTGAGAGGAAGTTTTAAATTTTTTTTTTTTTTCTTGATTTGCTTTGTCATGGTAGAGGAAAAAAAAAGGAATATTCCCAAAGTTTATTTTATTTTTATTTTTTGTTACTCATAAACTCGTTGGACAACAAAAAAAAAAAAAACAAACTTTAAAATCAAATAACTAACCATTGATTCAAAAAAAAAAAAAATTAGCTGTATTTATTTTTGAATAGGAATAAAAAAAAAAATCTTTTTTCTTTCTTTTGAAAAACTCTTTTTTTTTTTTAATCTAAATAACAAACAAACGAACAAAAAAAAAATTTCGTGTCTTGTTTTTACTCATTAACGGAATGAAAAATAAATAAAATAAATATTTGTTTACTATATAGATAACTGCCAATAATAATTAGTAAACACATCATTATTAATATATATTGGATTTGATGACTAATAATAACCTTGCATGTTTAAGTTATGGGAAAGAGAAAAAATTTTTTTTTTAATTTTTTTGGGGGGATGGAATATTTCTTGGAAGGCTTGAAAAAAAAAAAAAGAATTAAGATGAATGTTTCCAAAAAAAAATAGAAAAAGAAGGTGTTTTCCAAAAAAATAGTAACACCCAGTAAAATCGATGTTCGTACCACATGAGAAAGAAAGTTATAATCGGAATTTTAATCGGAATTTGTGAAATTAATTTTTACTGTTATGGAAATATGGCTTTTGATTGGTTTCGGAGCAGTTTACGTTAACATTGATGATTATCGGATACTTGAATCATGGAAATCACTTTTATTGTTACAAGACTTTTTAACGAAGATCAAAATAATTGATAGTTTACAATGTCAAAACATTTGAATATTGTTTGATTGTTAATAATACTATAGAGAAATTTGTTTGGGAAAAACATCAAGGAATAAAGTGAATGACATAAAAGTAATTAATGTTTGGCGCTAAAAAAACTTGAATGTTTTATGGTGGCGTAGATCAAATTACATGAACAATCATCATATACAATGTCACTTCTTAAAATAAATGTTGTGTTTGATCAAAATTTTCTCATTTACAAATAAAAATAAACAAAACCAAACTTCAAATGTCACAATAGTCGTTCATTCCTCAATTCTCCTCATTCATCAGGTTTTTAACCCCCCCCCCCCCCAATTTAAAAAATAAAAATCCCAATCACTAACTGAATTAATAATGACAACAATTGTTGTTGTGGGGATGGTTCAATTTATTTGATATTGTGTGACATTGACCCGGAGCTGACCTTGTCCCCTTTCGTGTAAATTCTCTAGATTTTCCCGCCCCCCATTTTATCACACAGACTGGACAACCTTTTTTTTAAAAAAAATCTATCACGTAACACATCGTATTATGAAGACAAAGAAGTAGTGTGTTTGGACAAAAAAAAAAAATCCCTCATATACTGTTCATAACCACGAAAAAAAAAATAAGCTAATTCTTTCTTATTTAGTTTCGAGAATCTTGATGATAAATAAACCCCTTCGCTTACCCTTATTTAAAAAGACAAAGCATTTTTACGCCCAGACAAATGTTTAAACTATGTCACATGTAAATACATATTTTTAATTTCTCCACGTCCATTTTTGGAATCCACTCATTGTATCGAAAAATGGAAAAAATTATGTATCAAAATTCAAGATTTCAGCGAGAATTGATCAAGGTTACTAAATTATCTAAAAAATTTTTTTGACCATTCTGATCTGCATGCAACCTTTTTTTTCAAATTTGGGTTACAAGGGAAAAACACAGTTCTTTGCACGTGGAGGAAAACAGTCAATAACGATACGCAGCATTTTTGTTATACATTACATCCTTTCGGAATAAAAATTTCTTTCACCTAAATAAGGGCTATTTTACTTTTGTCTTTCATCAAAGATTTTTCTCATAAAATGCGCAAGGAACGTAATAAAGATGACATGTAAAATAACAATTCATCATTTGAACGATCTCCGGTAATGAACCCGT